TAGCAGCCGAGCATTTAATCATTGTGCCACAGGCCCTCAATTTGGAGTAGATCCTAGTTCAGTGCTTCTTTCCCCTGAGGAACACACTGGGGTCCAGGGAGTTTAAATGCTGCCTAAGACCCCACACTGGTTAGAGAGTTTGCTTGTTTGTTTACTGGGTGCTTCTTATTTTTGCTTTACTCCTTATGTCATAATTCTTCACAATGCTGTACTGGGGAGGCAGTGGAGTTCCATAAACGCTATGGGCCAGCTCACTTTACTTCTCCTCTAAGTTCTTATTGCAATCTGGGTGAAGTCTATTAGATGCAAATGATATATTTACTTGTCTGTCTATTCCATGAGACAATGGTGGTTCAGAGGTAGAATTCTCACCTTCCATGTGGGAGACCCAGGTTCAATCCCCCCCAATGCACATCATGTGCAGCCACCTCCCATCGGTCAGGGGAGGCTTTCGTGTTGCTGTAGTGCTGAACAGGCTTCAGTGAAGCTTCCAGACTAAGATGGACTAAAAGAAAGTCCTGGCGATCTACTTCCAAAAATCAGCCAATGGAAAACCCTATGGATCACAACGGTCCAATCTGCAATTGATCATGGGGATGTCGCAGGGCCAGGCAGCATTTCATTCAGTTGTGCATGGGGTCGCCATGAGCTGGAGGACAACTCCCTGGCAGCTAATACAATAACAACTGTCAATTCCACTAGCCCAGAGACAGGGTCTACTCCAGCCCCAGCCTCTGTCTGGCTGGGACCCCGGCTCTGATAGAGGATTTCACTCCAGCAGCCCCCAATAGTATGAAGGAAGCTGGGTCCACTCCTACCCCAGGCACAGTGCAGAGGAAAAGGGCCAGGACTGGACATCACAATCCCTGGACTTAGCTCTGAGATCCCCTCCCACGGGAAAAAAAATTGGCTTTGGCTATTCACTCCCTGGACTCTGGTCCTCAGTTTTCTCTTCTGCAAAATGGGAATTTCTTTCTTTCTTTTTATTTATGTATTTATTTATTTTTGGTGAAAATATACATAAGAAAACACACATCCATTCAACATTTTCTACATGTTCAGTTCAATGATGTTGGTCACCAACATCATTGTGTCACCATTCTTGCTATCTCTATCCATGTTGTTTACCACCATTGAATTAGACTCTCTCTTCCCCAAACTTCTCTGTGTGTCAGAGTTACTGCTGTCAGTTTGATTTCGTATAGACAATTCTTTAAAAAGTGCACTGCTCAAGGCAGACATTCTTTAGTAGTCGAGCCAAACTGTGGTTTGGTTCAAAGATGACTTCATGGGATAGTTTCAGTTCAAGATTTCCCCAGTCACAACCGGGCCAGTAAGTCTGGTTTCTGTAAGAATTTGAAACTCTGTTCCTCATTTTCCCTCCCTTTGGTCAGGATCCATCTATGGGTCCTTGATCAAAACATTCAGAAATGGGAAACTATTGCCCTGAGATAATCTTTAAAACTTAAACCAAAAACATTCCCTCAAGTCTTCTTAAAACCAAATAGTAGTTTAGCTTAAACAGTAAAGAATGTCTGCCTTCAGCATTGTGCTCTTTTAAGATCTATCAATATGGGATCAAATTGTTAGCAGCAACTCGAAAGGTTAGATACGAACCTCAGAGGGCAGTGAGTTTATGTTAATGGAGGAGGGACAACTCAGAAAAGGAGGGTGAGAATGGTTACACAACTTGAAGAATGTAACCAATGTCACTGAATTGTACATGTTGAAATTGTTAGTGTACATTATGTGTATATTACCAACAACAAAAATAAATAAATTTTTTTGTTTTAATTTTTTAAGTTCAGAAATGATAGCCGGGTACCATCTCATTCTTTGGCTTCACGGCAAAGGCAGTATTAAGTAGTTCATGGAGGCAGTAAGACCTGCAGTCCATAAAGTGGAAATTTTTAACAATTGATAGGCCCTCTTCCCAAGGGCTTTCAATGTAACTCATTCAAGGCTCATAAGAGCCCTATGAAGTAGGTGCTGATATTGTTCTTATTTTATAGCAGGGGAGACTTAGGCACAGAAAGCTAAGCAAGTGGCTCAAAGTCACACAGCCGGCAGATGGTAGGGACTCGACACCCCCCACACCCTCACGTTCCCTTCCCGCTCCCCGCCGCCTGCCCCAGAGCCGTGGACCTTCAGCACTGGGGCAGGAGGCCCCCAAAAGAGGGGCCGGGAATCTGGTTTATGCTCGGTCCTCCGTGACTAGGAGGTGAGCTACAGGAGAGGGGACCCATCTGGCCCACAGCAGACATTCAATGAACAATTTGTGGAATGAAGGAAGGGAGGGAGGAAGGAAAAGAGGAAGGACTTCCGATAACAACACCCCTTTTGGCCTCCTGAGCCATCCTGCAGCCCTCTGCTCCAGGGACTATATTTGTGGTCAGAGTTTCTATTCCCAGCAAACAAGATCTTTGCGGCGACTTGTGACTGAAATAAAATCACAGGTTCCCACCGATCTGGGTCGAGGACGGAGGAAAATGCACTCAGGGCGGCGCGCGGGCGCCACCTGGAGGGGAATCCTTCTGTGACAGCGCTGTGGGGAGAGCCCAGGAATGTTTGATTTAGGCGAGATGGGATTCCGCGTCTGAAAGGGGGTGCTATCGAGTATGCTAATGAGCAGTTGTTTGAAAATCAGTGTACGGACGTTGAGGACCGTCTACCAATAGTTTTCAAATTTTGCTGACCACGACGCACAGTAAGAAATCGTTTCTCATCAACAGTTTCACAAAACACTGTCACCCTGTACTGTTGTGACTTGTCCAGTTGGACTCATAGCGACCCCATGTGTGCAGAGTAGAACTGCTCTGTAGGGTTTTCAAGACCGTGACCTTTCAGAAGATCTACAGGCCTGTCTTCCGAGGCACCTCTGGGTGTGTGTGAATCGTCAACTTTCCGGTTGGTAGTTCAGCGCTTTATCATTTATGCCACCCAGGGACTCCTGAAATGGGCCTTTAAAAAAAAAAAAAAAAAAACCACCACCATTGCTGTCGAGTAGATTCTAGCTTATAGCGACCCTATAGAACAGAACAGAACTGCCCTGTAGAGTTTCCAAGGCTGTAAATTTTTACAGGAGCAGACCGCCACATCTTTATCCCACAAAGTGACTGGTGGGTTCAAACTTCTGACCTTTCAGTTAGCAGCCGAGCACTTAACCACTGTGCCACCATGGCTACCGAAATGGGCCTTACTGGGCTAAAATCAAGGTGTCAGCAGGGCTGTGTTCCTTCCGGAAGCTCCGGGGGAAATCCATTTCCTCGCTTTTTTCGGCTTCTAGAGCTGCCTGCATTCCTTGGCTCATGATCCCTTCCTCCACCTTCAAAGACAGCAGTGCAGTATCTTCAAATCTCTGACCCTCCTGCCTCCCTCTTTCCCTTATAAGGACCTTTGTGACTACATTGGGCCCATCCAGATAATAGAGCATAATCTCCCCATCTCAAGATCCTTAATAACATCTGCAAAGTCCCTTTTGCCATGTAAGGTAATATATTCACAGGTTCCAGAAATCAGGATGTGGATATCTTTGGTTGGCTATTCTGCCTACCACATGAATTTTTTTTATTTTATTGCAAATGTATGAATGCATTAACAAAACATGGTATTGACTGCACCTTTGTCGACAAGTTGATTAGTTGACTGGTTCTTTTGTTGGTTGACTGGTTCTTTCACTGGTTGGCTGGTTTGTTGGTTGTTTGATTGACTAGATCATTGATTCGTTGACTGCTTCATTCATTGGCTAGTATTCATACTGACTGGTTGGTTGACTGCTTCACTTACTGATTTGACAGGTTGATTGGTTAGTTGGTTGGTTCTCTCAACTCCCATTACATACTCCATGTATTAAGAAGGGTTAGAAAGCTAACCACTTATGTTACCCAGACTCTCTTGCAGCTAGAGTTCTACATGACAGGTCCTCTTGATGACAAGAGAAGGGGAGGCTTTTAAGGAGTGGCTACAAGCCCATCTCCAACTTACCTATTTCTCATAAGAGGTTTGCATAAGAAAATTGGCTCCTCAGCAACAGAGTATCCCACAACTCACATTGCAGTCATTGCCCCCTTTTGTTTTGGGGTCATCCTTTGTTGGTGTACGAGACAAAGACCATAGGAAGCTGGCACCTTTGGCTGTTCTTTCTTTCACTGTCTACATAAGTAATAAATTGTCTGAATCTAAAAGTGGTTCGTTGTATCAGCTGTGGATACAGCTACTCCCCAACTTCTCCTCTCAAAGATAAGACACCAAGACCAAGAGGAAAGTCTTCATTTTATTTTTGTTTACAACCCCTCGAAGGATCAGTCCCCACCCTCCCTCACCTAGATGCAGCCCCGTCCCCCAACACCTTCACAAAACACTGATTTCCTCCCAGAGCTACAATGAACACCCAGTCACTAACTATGGTCATTTCCCACCCTGTCCCTTCCTCCCCACTGCCTGTATATCCGCCTGCTCTGTAAACGTGGCCACCTCTTGACTCACTCCCCAAAAGTAGTTCCTCCCATGTCACCTGGCTTGGTTTTTTTGCTTAAGGGTCCCATTCTTGAAACTTTCCCTGACTTACCTACCCAGCGTCCCTGTTCTCATTTGCATAGTAATTCTGCATAGCTTCCTGGCCCCACCTCTAGGTGCTAGCCAGGGCCACTCCACCCCCCACCAAGAACAACTTGCAAGAAAGCACTGATTTGAGACTCAAGAGGCCCTATTTCTAAGCTCTGATCTGCTCCCTGAATTCCCTGTGGGCCTCAGTTCCTCAGCTGATACTTGAGGGATGGAGATGTTGACTAAGGCCAAACATTCTACCATTCTGAGGATAGAGGAGGGGGCCAAATTCAGAAATGGGCAGGAAAGGAGACAACAATAAAAACAAAGGGAGGAGGGGTCTGGAATGAAGCTGGAGGCAGAGGAATGATGGAGGGGTCCCACCTCTGCCACAGAAACATAAGTGAGCCAGAACTGAAGACCAGCGCCCCCTACAGGCCAAAGCCCTTGCCCATCTAGCTGTTGCGCGTCCTCTGGCTTCGAGCCTTGTACACTTCGATGAGCAGATCCTTGACGTACTGGATCTCCCGCTCCACCGACTCAGCCCTCTCCCTCAGCTCCCGGTTCCGAGCCTCCAGCCCCTGGCACTCGCCCTCCAGGGCCTCACCCTCTGCCCTCTTCCTCTGGCGGTACCTCAGAGCTGCTGACTTGTTCTGGTCTCTCTTCTTCTGCTTGCGGTCCCCTCGGGTGGTGGCGGGGTTGGGGTAGGGGGCTGGGCGACAGGGCTGAGGTGGAGGAAGAGGGGATTGCTGTGGTGGGGGCAAGGGTGCCAACCCCACAGCATCCCCCTGCCCAGTCTCACTGCGGCAGTAGATGGCCAGCAAGTCGAGGGTATCCAGGGCAGGGGGCTGAGGGAGGTCAAAGGTGGGGAAAGGGAGAGGAGGAGCTTGTGGGGGTGGCGGAGGTGGGGAGGGTGGCGGCAGGAGTGGGGCATCAAGGAAGAAGTCTTCCATCTGTTCCAGCTCCTTCTTGAGGAGGGAGGCCATGGCTTCCAGGTCAGGTGGGGGTGGGGAAGGTGGGGGAAGGGCTCCAGGTGGCAAGGGGGGATCCAGAGGGAGGAGGGCCGTGAAGTCAACCCGCTCAGTCATCCAGTCAGAAAAGCCATCTCCTGGGGGATTGGAGAAGGGACATAAAGTTCCCTCTGAGTTCCTGGTCCTCCATCCAATTGGGTACTCACTCATTCAGGCTCATTCATCCCATTCGTTCAGTAAAACAACCAACCAATCAGTCAACCAATCAACAATTCATCAAACCAGTCAACAAACCAACAAGTCAGTCAAGCAACCAATGAACCAGTCAGCCAACAATTTGACCAATCAACCAACCAACCAGTAGATCAATCAATGAACCAGTAAACCAAGCCATCAACAAACTAATCAATGAAGAAGTCAACCAGTCAGCCAACTAATCAATGAACCAGTCAGTAAAACAACCAACAAAAGAACTAGTCAACCAACCAGTCACTCAACTGTCAGCCAACCTTTTCTTCAATCAATCCAACATCCTCTTTGCTTATTACCCTTCATCTCTGGTTTCTCTAATCCACTCTTTAGTTTGTTCTTAAAACACCAACTAGATTACATCACACATGCACACACACCCTGCTTCATCTTTAATTCATTAATTATTGAAAACCTACAACATGCCAAGCATTTGGGATACAGTAATGAATAAAACAATTCCTGCCTCACAGTCTCTGCATATGCTATTCCCTTCACCTGGAATGCTCTTCCCTTGGGCCTTTTCATAGCTTGCTCCTTCCCATTCTTCACACCACAGCTTAATGTTACCTCCTTGAAGAAGGTATCCTGGCTACCTTCCCACTCTAAAACTAGGTCCTCTTTGATATTTTCTAGCTCAGTTACTAAGTGTTTCCTACTTAGTCCCAATACATCTTCATTTAACTTGACTTTTGTCTGTCTCCCTACAAGAATGTGAGTTTTAGGAAGGCGGGAATGTCAGTCTTGTCCCCAGCTGTATCCTCAGCACCTAAAACAATGCCTGGCACATTGTGAGCACTCAATAAGAATATGTTGAATTAATTAATAAATTAATTCTTCCTTCTCCCTCTCCCTCGCCTCCCCCCAGCTCATCCACATCCATTCTCCACCTGTCCTTACCTGCCAGGGGCTCTCCCCCCACTGGAAGCCCGCCCTCCAGGGATCCCCCAAGGACCTCATAGGGGCCCAGGGGGGCAGGGGCCAGGGGGAGTTTCCCATAGTCTACGATCCAGCCCAGCCCACTAGCTGGGAGCAGGGTCCTGTCCAGCTCCAGCCCCAGGGTCGCCAGCAGTGACATGGCTGCAGGAGAGGCGCTGGGCACGGATGGCAAAGAAGGAGGCAGCACCAACAGCTGGGAGAAGGCTCTGGAGGTTGCTCAGATGGACTAAGGCAGGCACCAAGGCGAAAGCGAAGGGCCTACACGTGGGAGACAAACGGGGCAGGGTCAGCAGCCAGCCCGCCCACCAGCCAAAGGCACCGGGAAGCCATACCCCCATTGCCACCAGGCTCCCCCCTCTCTGAATTCTAAAACCTGAGCCCCCACACACTCCCAAGAGAATTCTCCTTAAGTCCCTCCCACCTACTTCATGATATTCTTCTTCATTAAAAAAAACCTCAATCCCAGGGGAATTTTCTTCCAGCCACGCCCCTTCCCCTAAAATATTTCCTTTAGGCTCCACCCCATTCCTAAATAGGTTCCATCGCAAATCAGTTCCTAGGGGAATTCCCCCAAGTTCTGTCCCTTCATCAATGCTATGGGTTTAGACTCCACTTTTGTCTTAAATTTGGTGGTGAACCCCCACTCCCGCCTGCCCCCGCGCCCTCCAAGCCCCGCCTTCTTCCCTGTCAATCTAAACCAGGCCCCGCCCCAGCAGGTGCGTGCTACAAAGCCAGTGAAGCTGCGCTGTGCGCCCGCGCAGCGTGGAGGGAGGAGGGCGGAGGGAAGGTTGCGGAAAATGGCTTCCACCCCACCCTTGCACAATCCGCTGTCTCCCCGAGGGTTAAAGCTCATGATCTGACACCCGAGCGCTGTAAATTGTTCTCTCATGCCCCCGGCCCTCTTGGGGATCAGTGCGCATGTGCGGCGGCGTACAGCCCGCCGTTCATGCACAAATAGGGGCTCTGGTGGGCTGGTGCGCATGAGCAACAGCGCACCGATAGACTCGTTTCCGGGGGGAGGACTGTCTGGGAGCTAGTTCGCAGGAGCAACCGCATGCGTGCCCTTAACATAAACAATGAAAAACCCACCCTCCCCACAAACCCCGACCTCGGGCCGAGTGCGCATGCTCGGCCGCGCGCCGACGACTCCCTTCTTCCCGTTTCTGCGCCTGCGCGACCAGGATCCCTCACGTCTACCGCCCCCCCCCCCGCCAGGCGGTGAGGGCCGCGCGCAGCAAAAGGGCGGGAAAGGCGGTTGGAGAGGGAGGGACCAGCGGTTACTCACTCCATGGCGGCGGAAAAGGGAGGCGGCGGCGGCCTCGGCTGAAGAAAGACGGCTGGAGCGGACAGCGCAGGTGCGGTGCGCGCGGAGACGGGCCGGGGGGCACGGAAGGGTCGCGGCTACAGGGCCATGGCCAGGGCTACGCGGGCAGGGGCGGCGTCACGCTAATGTGAGGAGATCGTGGTTTGAGGACGGGGAATGAGGCGGCCACGGGGACTGAGGACAGATATACCGGGGTGGCGCAGCACAGCCTGCGAGGATCCTTCCGCGCTCCGCCCCCGTGCGGCCCCAGCCCGGAGGCGGGCCCGGCGCCCTCCTCCCTCTAACTCGGGAATCGGACCCCCTCCTTCCTCTCACCCTGGGGTCCGGCCCCCTCCTCCCCCTCATCCGGGGATCGGAACCCCTCCTCCCTCTCATCTGGGGGTCTGGCGCCCTCCTCCCTCTGACCCAGGGATCGGATCCCCTCCTCCCTCTCGCCCCGTGGTCTGGCTCCCTTCTTCCTCTGACCCAGAGGTAAGACCCTTCCCTCCCTCAGAACCGGGGGTCCAGCCCCCTCCTCTCTGTGATCCGGTGATCGGACCCCCTCCTTCCTCTTGATTCTGAGGATCGGGCCCTCTCCTTTTTCTGGGGCCGGACCCCGGCCTCTCCTCCCTCAGACCTGCACGTGTTAATTTCTCTGTTCCCTTCCCCCACTTGACGGAAGAATTTCCTGCCAGCCACACCCGAATCTCTCCGTCCTTTCATCCCTCAGCTGTTGCTTGGGCTTGAAAAGCCTTATAGGTTTGAGGTCTTGCTTGAGTCAGAGTCAGGCGACCTCCATTCAAATCACAGAGCGGCCAGGGTGGCCTTGGGCAAATAACTGAAGTTCTCTGGGCCTCATATCCCCATGTGGTAGGTTTGTTTATGAGAATGAAATAAGATGATGTCCTCGAAACCCTAAGCACAGAGCCGGGATCATATATGCCTGGTCAACGGTGCCTTGTTATTAATAGGAGCTCTGGTGCCCAGTCTCACCCCTTGTGGCAGAACCCCAGACACTGGACCACCCAGCACCTGCTGGGGGGTCGTTTTTGTGCGAGGGATTCAGGCCTCATTGCCCCCCCCCCTTGGTTTTTTCTCTGTCTTCAACAGCCCCTGCACACCCCCCTCAGCACTTTAGTCTCCAGCCAATTGTTCCTTTCTCCTGCCCTTGCCCCTCACCCTGACTTGGTTTTACAGTTCTTTGCCTCAGCTGCTACTCACAGTATCGGGAACTGTCTTCTATCCCTCCCCAAAATGGGAAGCTCTATTAAGAGAGAGCACTTCACCTCTCCGCTGGCCAAGGTGGAGATGGTTCTTTGCTCTGCTGAAGGAAGTCCCTCTCTCTTTTCCACCCTGCGTCCATCTACCTGGAGTTCACCCTCATCCCTTTTGGGACAGCTACAGACTGAACTAAGACCCAGGGAAGGTGGGTTTTGAGAGTTTATCTGGGCTAGCCTTTGGAATGCATGAACTCTTTCTTGGGATCTGACCACCTTCCATTAGAGCCAGATTTGAGCACTTGCCCTATAGTTCCTTGGGTCCTTAGGGGCTACACTATTACTTGGGCAGTATAGGGCAGCACTTAAGAACTCAGATTCTGGAGCCAGGTTGTCTGGCTTCAAACCCTGCCTGCATCCTACTTAACTAGTTGTGTGGCTTTGCCAATTTCCCTAACTTCCCCATGCCTCGATTTCTTCAGTGGTAAAAAGTGACCAATAATAGCCACTGTGCCTTAGGACAGTGAGGATTAAATGAATTAATCCCTGCCTATGGTTTATACTAGTGCCTGGCACAAAGTGGATGCTTGTTATTATTGTTGTTGCTATTATTACTGAGATGCATATATTGTTTCCATTGCCACCAGTGGATGCTTTCAAACAATGACGGTCTTACACCTTTTGTGTGAGACTTAAGGACGGACTCCCCTCCACTTCTCAGTGTAGATATTTGAACAGCAGCAGGTGACAGGGATTAGGGTAGAACTGTTGGACAGACTGCTAGCCTGGGGAGGCCCTGTCCGAACTACCAGAAAAGGGACTTGACTTCAGAAAACCTGCTGCTGGCAAGGTCTGAGCCCTGGCTGGCCCAGACTTCTGGCACCTTCCTTCACGGGGTCTGTTTTCTCCCTCTGTCCCCCACCTACAGGCACCACCCCCCACAGTCTTCTCCTTCTGAGAAGGCCCTCTGGGTTATGCCCAGGGACTAGGTAGAGTACTTTTTTTTTTTTTTAATAAACTTTTTTATTTTAGTACAACTTTAGGTTTACAGAAAAGTTGCAAAGAAAATACAGAGTTTCTGTATACTCTGCATCCAGTTTTCCCCACTGTTAACATCTGACAAGACTAAGGTATGGTTGTCACAGCTCAGGAACCAGCACTGGCAAATCACAACGCACTGAACTAATGCCACACTTACCTGATTTCACTTGTTGTCCCCGCATGGCCTTGTTCTGCCCCAGGATCCCCCCCTAGGGCACCACATCACATTTAGCCTCCTCTGGGCTGTAGCCATTGCTCAGACTTTCCTTGGCTTTGATGATCTGGTCAGATTTGAAGAGGGCTGGTTAGGTATTTTCTGGAATGCCCCTCACTTTGGGTTTGTCTCGTAGTTAGACTGGGACTGTGGGTTTTTGAAGGAGCCCTGGTGGCACAGTGGTTAAGCGCCCAGCTGCTAACCAAAAGGTTGGTAGTTCGAACCTACCAGCTGTTCTGTGTAAAGATTACAGCCTTGGAAATCCTCTGTCATGTAGGGTCACTATGAATTAGAATCGACTCAGTGGCACACAGCAATAACATGGGTTTTTGAAAGGGTGCCCACGTAGGATATTTTTTAAATAACTGATAATGGGGATCCTGTTACTGGTTCATGCGGCATCCGCTGACTCAGAAGGAGCTGGAGCAGGGACCATGGTGCCACCTGTCCCAGCCCCCCCCATGCCTTTTTCTCTCGCTGGGGCTCATGTCCCTGTCTGGTAGGGTCCTTGGATTCCACCTGATTCAGCCCTGGTGCTGACTGCCTTGCCCAAGCAGCTTGGTTCATGTGTGCCGAGTGGGTGACAGTTCACACACTTAGCTCCCAGAGCTTCCTAGTGCGTTCTGGTTTACACATAGTGGGTCATTTGTGGCTGCCTGCAGCCCCACACCCTGAGCCCTCTGTTTGAGTTTGTTTTGTGGTTAGACTGGGACCCTGGCACCCAGAGCCCTCTCCTGGGCCCACCCTAGACCTGGGCCTATGGCCCCTCCAGGACTCAGATATCTCCACCTCCCCCAGCCTCAAAAAGCAATTGCCCCAGCCCGTTCAGCCCCTTAGCTCAAGGCTGAGGGCACGGTGGGGCTGCTGGGGACTCTTTTTCGGTGCGGAGGGGCCAGGCTCGGGGAGTGAGGTGGCTGTTGCAGGCAGGTTGCATCAGCCCTGGCTCTTTGATGGGGGGGGGATTCTCTGGGGGCCCTGGTGCACCTGGCAACAGCTCCTGGTGAGCAGAGCCCTGGATCAGGGAGAGGCCCCAGCATAGCTGGGGTGACAGGGGCAGGGGAGGAAAACCAGGCACCTGGGCAGGACTCAGAGAATCAAGACTCAATGCCAAGGAGGGGCCTTAAGTCCCTGAGGCCAACCAGCTGCTCTGGCAGGGGCAGGACAGGCCCCGAGAGGCAAAGGGGTTGTACAGAATCACACTGCTAGCTAGGGCCCTGGCCTCCACAGCACTGCTTCCCAGGCCCCATGAGCCCCGGGGGGAACTCGTCTCCTGCTACTCAGATCTTCGGCGGTCCCCAACCCACGCTCCAGGGCAGAGCCTGCTGGGGGCCACCACTGGGACCCTCACCTCAGGTTTGCTCCTGCTCACAATTTGCGAATTCTCGAGTCCAGCCATGCCTGCTGCCCTCGAGGAGGCCCTCCTCACCTGCTTCCCAGTCAGGGTGCAGTTGGCGTGACAGAAAAGGCCCCGAGGTTTGCATCAGGTGAACCCAGGTTCTAATCCTGGGGCCACGCCACGTCTAGCCACGGATGCAAGCAAGGTCCTAATCTACCTGAACCTTGGCTGCCCCTACAGAGCCAGCCGGGTTCAGATCCCAGCTCCACCACTCCGTGGCCCTTGGCAAGTGGCATTGTCTCTCTCTGGCTCAGTTTCCTCACCCGTAAAATGGGGGTGAGAGGACTCACCTCATAATGTCGTTGTGAGGATTAAATAGCTTAATGCATGATAACTTCCTAGAATGGGGCCTGGCAGGTGGGAAGTGCCCTGTGAGCGTTCGTTATTTCTCTCTAAGGTTGGGGTGCTGGGAAGATAGGGAAATGAAGTTGGTAAAGCTAGGAGGCGCTTAGTAGGTGCTCAAGAGCTGTACATGTTTCTTGCCCTCTCCTGTATCCTCCACACGTGGTTCCACTTTCCTCGCCACCTCACAGACAGATATCTTTGGACGTGACTGTGTCCCCGAGCACTTAGAGGGCAAGGACAGGGCCCTCCTCATTCCTAAATTGTTTCCCCAGTCCCACGTGGCCACATCAGTGGGCACCGATGCATTTCTGCGTGAATTCCTCATGGGCAAAGGCTGGAAAATCCGATACTGTGGTCCCTGAGAGGCGCCAGGTCCAGTATCTGGGTCACACAGGCCAAGGGACAGGGTTGGAGGTGGGCGTTGGGCAAACAGGGCAGGAAGGCCAAGGCCGGCTCTTCTGGGGAAAGGGCAGCACAGGACACGAGCCCGCCACGTGTCAGAGCACAGAGTCCTCACAGCCCCTTCCCTCCCCTCGCTGCTCCTGCCACATCCCTGTGTCCCTAGCACGCTGAAGCAGTCGCAGCTCAGAGAGCCTGTTAGGCCCCATGCTGTGCTGTACCAGCTCCGGCGTCCTCTGTGGTCACCTCCTGCATGAGTTTCCTCTTGCCACAGTAACAAATTGCCGCCAACTTAGTGGCTTAAACAACCCACTTTTACAGTTCTGGATGTCAGCTGTCTAAAATGGGTCCCCAGCTCTGCGTTCCTTCTGGAGGCTCTGTGGGAGGGATCCATTTCCTTGCTTTTTGCAGCTTCTGGAGGCTGCCTGTATTCCTTGGCT